AGGGAATCTGGAGAGGTCTGAAGGTATGTGCATTGGGAACTGAAATCTTCCATGGTCTGTGGCTCAAGGCTGAACATATAAACTTTCCGACACTCTTTTTTCTCCAGAAGATCAGAATTAGAGAAATTTTGATTTGGGATATATTGTTTTCGTCTCATTTTCTCAAGGTACCAGATGGCGTTTTTTTCTGTGAAGCGAAAGATGCCGGGAGCCTGGGGCTGGTCTTTCCCCGACACAAGCTCCATTGGTTGCCACATCTGATAGGATACACCAAAGCCTCCATCGACAATGTAGGCATTGCCATCAATAATGACCTTTACAAGGAGATGTGTCATGGTGGTGGCATATGCATTTTGATGTGGATTGAACACATATGCTCCCAGGAAGCTGGCATCGTACCCCAGGCGTTTCAGGACCCAGCCCAACAGCTGGTTGTTTTCCATGCACCAGCCACCCCGCTTCCTCCGCACGATTTTGTTATAAACGTGCTCCAACTCCAAAGTAATTTTCTCGCCACAGTGGATGCTGAGGTTTTCAAAGGGAACAGCACGGATGTGGTGCTGGAATATACTGGTTAAGGTTTCCAGGTCTTGTTTTTCAAGGGAACCTTTATAGCCAGTTCTTGCAAAATACTCTTCAAGGTTCATGTCACCTGTAAAGGAAGGAATTGCATTTTGGTTTTGTTGCTTTACATCAATGATTTACGATGCTGTGAAAAACTGCCCAGGCTGCTGCCAGCAAAGATGCTTTAATCTACTGAACCTCGTCAGGGCGGTTTTTAAAGGTAACAAGTATTCACGGCAAACAGTTCCCAGAGGAGAGGAGAGCACTGCACGTGAGGGTTTGCTTTTTCTCTTAGAGTCGTCCCTATAGCAAACAGCTGATGCAATTTCAGCCTGCTCTGCGATGGCTACAAAACGGGGATTTGCTGTATTTGCATTGTAACAGCAGGGTTAAGACAAAATGTAAGAGCACGCTAGGGAGCATTCATGAAAACCGCTCTAAATCCACTGTTCAGCCAAAGGAGTGTCGGTGGGGAAGCAGTGTTGTCTGCCAGTTGGAGGGAGGGTAAGTTGAGCCAAGATTCACACGTTCTTTTCATGAGCCTGCCACTGATCTTTGTGACAGTAAATGAATTGCTCGTTCGGTAGACGTTGTTCTTCCACCACTTGCAAAAAGATAAAATGATACTCCCTGCACATTTTGTAAAGTGTCAAGTTTTATCCAGATAATTGTAACTGAAGAAAACCTCTGACCTTTGCAAGAGTCGCAGACCACTGAGTCTCTTATCTGCTCTGACTGTTGCAAAAACTGATTTTGGTGTTGGAATAATGAATCTGAATGGAGGCGAGTGACCTAAAAGACAAAGAGCACATCTCTGTTCCCTGCTGTGCCCCTTGTCTCGCAGGGTGCCCTGAAAATGGACAGGGGCTGCTTTACATCTCTCTAGTCCCGGCCTTTCTCAAAACTCACTTTATTCCTTTCAGAGGAGGCACAACTGAGAATTACTGAAGCTTCGTACAGTGCTCTGTCCTGCCTCCAGCAGTGCCCACCTCCTGGCCTGCCTCGGAGGACTCCTCATCAGCAAGATTGATGGATGAGGAATTTTCTGCCTTCTAATACCATGGAAAGTCACGCACAGTCATCCAGCTTCGGCAGTGGCCCATCACAGTCTGCTGGCGACCATTGTGAGCTGGACAGTCTGTAGGTACCTGGTAGGTACCGTATGTAAAATATAGTGTAGATTCTCTGCTTGGCTAAGGGGCTGGGCACAGGATGTTCTGAAGGCTTGAACCTTTTCAAAGAAAGCACTAAGCGTTCCAGCAGTCTAGAGTAACTGCAAATATTTAGCTTCTTGACAACCCACAAAGCTACTTAGAAATCTTTCGTGCATACAGTAAGCTGAGGTTTAGACAATATTAGCGACTCAGGAAGCCGATTGTATTCAGATAAATTCAGCAGTGAACCATTGAATGTTTACTGCAAACTAGAGTTTCTCAAGATGATTTTCAGTGACAGGTTCGTGATGTGCATATGCATGGTATAGAAGCAGCTGTCCCAAGCGAAGGAAGAGCCCCATCAAAAATCGCATGTTATCTTCTGCAGAAAGGGATTTAGCTTCCACTGAGATTTAAATGTATTGTTGGAGGATATTCTCAATGTAATATTTGTTAACTAGAACATAAGACTTAGGGCAGTTTTCTCTTTTGATTTGCAGAATCCAAGTCTATCCGATCCTACCCGCTCAAATTGTGAATGCTAAATAGCTCACACCAGCATAAAGCTGGTTCTCGAGTTCATATTATTTGTAATCTCTCTGCAGCTCTGTAATATGATTGATCAGCTTTAGATCTTGACTGTAGAAGATGAAAGCTACCATTCTTTTGAATTGTGAGCAGATCAGATGAAAAGCTAGATACCGAAAAGGTAGTCCCACAAATGTAGCTATGATTTATGCAGAGAAAAACATCAGCAGAAGAACTGTATCTAAAGGTGCAAAGGAAGGTGCTCATACAGAAATATTCCCTACCAGGCCTATACTCACTATCTGCAATTCCATTGTTATAATACATTATCTGTCTACTTTTATCCTAATATGCCAGCACGTGGGCTTTTTGGGGTGCGCAAACCACAGTTTGTAATTTCATTTTTTTAAGTTGTTTTTAAAGGACTGTAATTTTATTCCAATACGGCAGAATCTATTGATTATTAGATTGCTTTTTTTCTTCCTCTGCCTTTGCAATATTTTTAAATAAAGTTAAAAATCTAAAAGAATAGCTTGCAACAAGAGGCTATATTTCTAAATTCATATCTACCATTGTATCTAAACAAAAGCATCTCTCACAGTCAAGTGAATCTCCTTCTGAGGAGCAGAAAGACAGCAGAACTGAAATTGCAGTATCGTTGTTTTGCCCTCTTTAAGAGCCCATGTTTAGCAGGTGACATTTTAGCTCTACATCCACACATTTTTATAGCATTTTTCATAAAGAGAATACTGCTTATGTTATTGCCCATGACCTTTACCATCATAAATAAACCAGGTTTGTTGTTTGGGGTTTGGGGGAGATTTTTTAAGAAAACAAACTTACCTCTTAAAATAGCCTTATTTGTTTATTGATATATTCAGCTTCTGGGTTGTTTATTACTGGGACAGCGGTCAGTAAAGCCAGGAGCGGATACAAATTGCGAGGGCTGGCTTCCTCTCTAGGCTCCACTGGCCCTCAATCCTGAAGCTTAAATGCTGAGAAAGGGCAGAGTCCACGCAAAATGAATGCACGTTTCTGGACTTCACTGATCCATGAGCAAATTAAACTTTGTTTCTTCTCTATTAGTAGATGTTTATGTCTTCCTCTGGTTAAGACCAGACTGAACTTGTTTTCCATGTAAAATAATTACAGCAGACAGCTGCAAATGGCTCCATAACTTGTTTTCATTAAATTATTCTTATTTTGCAAGCCAGCACTTTGTGGTGGAGGATAGTCATCTGCTTCCTTGTGGGTGCACAGATGTGCCAAGGTATTGCAGGCTGCGTTTTCCCAGGCTCTGCGGATGCACAAAATGACCCTTCTTTGCCCACAAAGGAACTTTTTCGATCTGTTCAGGGCTTCCACTGCAGCGGGTCGTTATTTTGGAGCTGCGACACCTAACGAATACCATGACAAATACTTATTTGCGCAAAGTAATGCATTTCCTCTCTAAAACTTGGCCTCTGTGTCTTCAAAGTGTTGCAAGGCTGTTTGTTTAATTCGCTCCCTGTCAAGCATGTCTCCTCTTCATTTGATGGAGGTGGAAAGTTGGAGGTCCCTTTTGGGAAGGCAAAGAGCACATCGGTCTGCATCTGGGAAAGCACCCGAGTTTTAGGCACATCAGGTGCCCTGTGAGTCTGTGGTGGACTAACACAAGTGTCAAAAGTCTTTTCCTTGGCTGAGGACCGATGTTCTTCTGTTGCCCTCTTTCATGACACATCCTGTACAGGACCTGCCACAGGTATCATAAAGGTAAAAGGATTTTGTTACTTACAGCATGCTGTGAAACCACACCAGTGGGTGTCCTAACTTCCCAATGTTTTCTTTCACATCTGTAGTATTACTTATTTAAGGTAGCTTTTGTGCTGAATACAGCTTGTCATAAAGATGAAGAGTTTTATCTATATTACTGTCAAGCCCGCTTGACATCGCAGGAAGGTTTGGTCCCAAAAATTTAGTATAGTTTGCAAAGGTAAATCTAACTTGGATTGTTTCCATTTTTGATACAAAAAAAGATTTTTAAGAACCGTCGAATCCGTCTCAGCTTCTATTGACTTTGTTTCAATTTCAGAGACACAGAAAAATCAGACTCAGAAAAACTGGACACGCAAAATTAGAGAGCTTTTTGGGGTTATTTAAGTGCCCTTGCATAAACAGCTTACTTCAAGTCAATTTCTGGTAAGGGAATAGGACTCAAATCTTTCAACTTATTTCATCATGAGCTAATCAGCACCGAATAGTGGCTTGTTTTGAGAAAGTCTTAACCTTTCTTTTTATTATAAAGTCTTTGAAAGCCAAATTCAGCTCAGCTTTCTACTTCAGACTGTTAAAGGAAGTGAATAATTTGTAAAATTCTGCTGAGAAGAAAATTGGAAATAATACCAAGAAAGGTTAGAGGTCTTTTGTGTAAAATGGTAACGCAGCTTCTCCTTCTGTATGCTTTTGGTCTCCTTTGCCACAAAATATATCTGAAATAAAATTAGATCCAGAGAGGTGAAACAAAATGTTATGGAGTCAAAACGCAATTTCCATATGAGCAAATTAGATGTAGTAAGATGTCTCGGTTTCTAAAGAAGGAGAAGCTTAAGAAAAAATATGCAATCGATATATGCAGTTAATTAGCAATGTACTTGAATTTACCAAGCTTTGTGTTCGGCTGACTTGCCCAAATTTAGAATCAGATTAATGAAATTAATGTTAATTTTAGAACTTCTTATATTGATATTTAAAGATCCATCCAGCACAGCGTTAGAATTAGATCGTATCCACTAAATTAGGTGGCAAGCCACGAACGTTTACAGGTACGAGTTTGTTCTCCAATACTATACTGAATTTGTCTTTCAGTGTCTTCTCAACCTCTTCATCTGTAAGAGTTGTTATCTGCAGCAGGTCCATGTCCTCCATGTGGTTATACTTTACCTCGGAGAAGGTCCATCCAACTAAGGCATAAAGTCCTTCAGTGGTCTGGAGACTGCAGATTGACTTCTTGTGAAGTATGTTATCTGGAGACACTTGCAGGTATGTGTTTAGCTCCTGAAAGTCATTTATATGTCGTGGCTCGAGTGTGAATGCATATATTTTTCTGATATTCCCCAGTTCTGGAGTATCAGCGAAAGGGACACTTTGCTCGGGAACATAATGCTTCCTTTTGACTTTCTCGAAGTACCAGGTGCCATTGTCTTCCGTGAAGCGGAAGATACCGGGCATCTGGGGTTGATCTTTCCCAGAAATTCTGCTGGGTCATAACTATTTCCTCCAAGAATATAGACATCATACCCTAATTCTTGCAAGGCCCAAAATAAAAGGTGGTTGCTTTCCAGGCACCATCCACCACGTTTCTTTCTCACAATTTTATTATAAATAGATGGTAAATCCAGTTCGATGGTCTCACTGCAATGCATGCTAAGGTTTTCAAAAGGAATTGCCCGGATGTGATGCTGGAAGATGACTATTAAGGTTTGTAAGTCTGCATCCTTATGAGACTCGTTGTAAGAAATTCTTGCAAAATACTCTTGAATGTTCATTTTGCCTGTGTGAGCAGAAAAACAGCCAGTTACTATTGTGTGGCTCTCAAGGGGTTCACTCCTGTAGCACAGGTTAACCAGCCTGCAAATGTACCCTAAGCTGTTTTATTGAGGATTTCAAAGACACCTGTGCCCTTGATAAGAGATGAATGCAGGCTAGACCTGCCTGTGTCATCTGTATTTCTTAAAAAAGAGATGGGGATAGGAGCAGGTGACAATAACGCTTTCTCTCTCTCAGATGTTGCTTTCAACCCAGGTGGATGTCTTTCCTATGGGAAGACACCGCACATGGCACAACAGAGTCTCTGGCCCCAGATGAGGGTCCCAGGTGACAAAAAATTCATAAAACTGACAAACAACAGGTTTGCAGAAAAGCTGCTAGACCATACCAGCATAAAAGTCACAGCAATTTCTTCCTGTTTCTTTTACCATAACAAGTAAGCAATTCTTTTTTTATCCCAGAGGTAATTTAACTGGAAGGTTTTACATTCATGGCTTTAGCTAACTGGGATTAACATCTCAGTGTGTCACCACTTTAGACAAGCATCCATGTGAAGCAGATTGTTGTTTACTTAATCTCTTTAGTTTCCCTGTGGAGTTCAGACACAGCTTTGACCCTGGCTGTTGAAAGAAAGGAACTACTAATTTTTCTAACCTAAGGGTCAGAGGAATTGATAATTACTAAGAATACATTCAAGGCATATTCAGTGGCGTTTGGTTTCTTTTACCATTTTTTACAAACGAAAGGCCTTAGTTTCAGCTCAGATTATTGGATATATTTTGTGTCTTCATGTCTCTGATCCCCTTTGCTTTCACTCGCAGAAAGAGACTGTCATTGGTACTGGCTGCATGGCCAAGATGCAAAAGGTTCCCCATAACACTTCTAATCCACTGACTCATCTGGTATCTGCAAGGATTTCTTCTGCCTTTAATTTAGATTTAATTTGGCTTTTTTCCATGCAAGGATATTTGTTTTGCAGAACGATTCACAATCTGCTAAGTACTGTATTAATTTCCAAAAGGTCTGAGGATTTCTTGTTCCTTGAAATTGGTCGCTCATTCCCTGGGAGGATTTTTCCAAAAATCATTTTATGTAGATGAGATGGGAGAGGTTACCTTCCAGCCACTATTCTCAGCTTTGGTCCAACTGCTCCCCGAGGAGCGACCAGCCGTTTGACCCAATGTCTGTGCCAGTGCTCAAGCGAGTGCTGGGAGCTTTTAAAAATCCCGCTTCAAATTCGTAGGTGGAAATACCCCTGCCCCAGCAGATGAGCACGCCAGATGACCTAATCTCTAGACTTCAACCGCAGTTTTGATGCCAGTAGCACAACTCACTTGACTTAGTTGTATTGCTCCTGATCTGCACTGGTACCAGCATTCAGACTGGCTGATGCAAAACCACAGGACAATGTAACAAGATAGAGGACTATCCCAATAAGGGAATACGAAATAAACATTTTCATTTCAAAAGGACCCAAAGAGGCTACGTAAAAAAGCAGTAATGTCTCTTTGATACTGCATTTTATGTTTTTTACCATCCCTTTTTTAGGACAAGGGCACTCATCTCTGGCAGCATCTCCTTGGAAACGCTGGCTGCAGAAAGCCATTGCCTCCCCAACAGACAGCACATGTATACACTGGCAAGCTCATCCTGTGGTCCTCTGCCTCATTTTTCCTTCTGTTCCCACTTTCAGCCATTCATGTCCTCTGCCTCATTTTTCCTTCTATTCCCACTTTTAGCCATTCTGTGTGGCCAGATAAAAACGTCTTTTCCCTGTGATGGTGTCCAGCTGAACCTCTGTGACCAGAAGTGGACCAAGAGAGTCCGTTAGCCTGGTGGGTCTGATATGTTCCAAATTTGCTTTCAAGCAGCAACCGATCAGTTCCTGCTCTGAGCCAGCGGCAGAAGACCTGCTGCCCTCCCCATAACCTGTCTCCTGGGTCTGGGTGGCCCCATCGCCCCGGCAAGGGTGCAGTATGTAAGCAGCCTCCCTCTTCCAGCCATGAGTAACCTCAAGAGCCGCCCTCTCAGCAGCCGTGGGGTGCTGGCAATGAGCCTTCGGGAAAACATTTTGGGAAGTTCACAGCCCGTGCCTCAGTTTCCCCAGCTGGCCCTTCTCCGGCCTCGTCAGCTGGAAGTCTCTATAGTAGCGACAGCCTCATGCTGGCTGACAAAATGAACTCTGATCTCAACGAATACTTAAAGAGGCTTAAGTACAGTGAAGCCGCAGTACAAAATCATGGGCGTTGGGCAACACAGACAGGTTGCATTCATGTAAACCAGCTTTTACCCTCTTGCCTTCCCGGAGGCAGCTTTTCATCTTGGCACAATGGTTCCCACCACGCTAGCGACAGGGCTGGAGCAGCGAGCACGCCCTCGCCCAGGAACAGATAGGGTTCCAAAACAAGGTTGCCAAATATCTTAAGCCTCAGCCCAGATCTCAGCCTTGTTTACTTGTTCTCCTGCAGCAGACAGGCTCCGTTCAGCATGCCTGCACGTTTGCAGGACCAGTTCGATGAGTGGCGAGATTCAGACGTTGTTCTGCCGGTCTGCAAGCATCCCTGGGGATCACTGCGTCCTTCCATAATTAGGCTGAATATTAGGAACAGTTCTTCTCTGCTAAAATTCATGAGAGGCATCCAAGGTTGGATCCTCTGGCACATGCCTATACCATTTGTTTGGTGTTCATCTACACCATGAGTTAGTAGGTGGGTCTTTCGCGCACTCTGACTCAGCATGAAGGGGTTAGTTTAAGTCTCCAGCACTTGATCTTTGCACTTGGACAACGCCCTTGCAACGCAACGCGTGCTGTCGGTCCCGGGGTCGCTGTCATTTATACTTTTCTAATATGCCCACAGGGCTAAGCGCATGGTGTGCAGGCCCATCGGGGGGGCTTTTCCGAACAGCCTGACCCGCAGCCGCGGGATGAAGTTAAAGATCAGACACTCGGCACTTACCTCTCCGCCAGCGAGCTCAGCCTTCCGCCCTGGTTTGCTCCAAAGTTCCCAGGAAGCTTGTACAGGGAACTGCTGCTCTTAAAGGTACAGGCTGCCTTTGCTGCCTGGCAGGGGCGGCGTAACCCTCCAGCAGGACCGGAAAAGAGGGGAGAGAGTTTCTTCTCTTATAATGTTTTATATTCTGATTGTTTTACTGGTTTATTTGTATTGACGTATGCGTAGAAAGCCCTGTCATTCAAGTCATTGTGTTAGGTGCTGTACGGAGAGCCTGAAAATGATCGAGTCCCCAGATTGCTTACAATAATGCATGGATTTTAACCTCCTGCGTTACTGATTGAGAACTGAAGCCCTCCAGGAATGCAAGGGAGAAATACAGTATGGGTAACGCAAGCAACTTTAGTAAGTGTTTATAACCCTGTCCTCAACCCCGCAGGTCACCCAGCTGCTTCAGTCTCTGGGGCACCTTGGTGGCTGCACCCATGCTGAAGCAGCAAATCAATAGCATCCATTTTGATACAGATTTTACATTGCCGACACTTATGTGGCCTGGATCCCTGTAGGAATCACAGAATCACAGAATTTTCGGGGTTGGAAGGGACCTCTGTGGGCCATCTAGTCCAACCCCCCCGCCGAAGCAGGGTCACCTACAGCAGGCTGCACAGGACCTTGTCCAGGCAGGTCTTGAATATCT